CCTACTTAGAACAAGCTTAGCAAAGCACAGGGACCGCGGTTCAATCCCCCAGCACCACATGCCAGCCAGCCCTGCCCCCTGGTGGGCTGAGCTGGTGCCACACACACACACACACACACACACACACATAAATAAATAAAATAAAAAAATTTTTTTAAAATAAGATTCCTAGGGAATACATGTTTTGCTTTTGCTTTCCTGTACTGGGAATCACACTCATGACCTTTGCCAGACAGGGACCATGCTGCTGAGCTATACCTCAATATATCTAGTTATTGTCCCAAGTTTCAGCAATTAATAGATCAACTCAGAATTTTAAAACATTTGTCGTGGTAAATGTATAGGTGCTCTACCTATACCAATTCTTGTTTGGCCTTCCCATTGTATAGATTTCTCTTCTATCGGTCAAATGTATCTTTCGAATTTGAGAGTTTCATAGCTGACACTTTAAACTCTTCATTTATTTCATGTAAAATAAAAACATAAAAAGAAATTTTGGCTAAGTCTTTCCTCTAGATTCCTCACCTGTATGACAGGGTAAAATTGCATCTAGCCTGCAGAGTTCTTTCCTTTTTTGACTACTACAGAAAAAAGATGTTCTGTGATAAAAAAAAAAAAAAAAGATTCAAAAAGTCAGAGTAGAAATGGGTCTCTGAGCTGGGGACCTCTATCACACTCTCTTGCTGGAGCTCACAGGGCTGGCCAGAGCAGACAGCGCAAATGGGGGGTACGGGCCCTGCTCCCACAGGTCTGTGCCCGGCAGGCATTCTGCAGTCAGTGCACTTTTGGGCTCAGTTGTCCCAGCAGGGATAACTGCCAAACCATGGGACAATCAGAAGTTGTCCACACCAGCAAAAGGCCAACGAGGCTTGGACTAACTTGCTTTGTCTTTGTATGCCATCACCTTTCCACTTTCTTATCTAATTCCTGTAATATTCCTTTAGGAACCTAAAGTAAATACTATACCTGCTGCCTCCTGCTGTCTTTCTTATAGAACTGCAGAAGAATAAGAAATTTTTTTTCTCTCTTTCTGTAGGTTTTCTTCAGTGTAATCCACAGCAGCTACTGCATTGGAGCAGCAGCCCCTCACTTTGAAACCTTCTCTGTGGCCCGAGGAGCTGCCTTTAATATCTTCCAGGTTATTGATACGGTAAGATAGTTCACTGCTTCCAACGATCACTAAAGCAGGAGACCATAAGCAGACACATGCATTTCACTACACAAGATGAGCAAAATCTGCATTGTCCAGGAGGCTAGGAAAAAAAAGTACTGCTTTTACCTCTTTTACGAGGAGATTGTAGGTTTTGTTGCTGTTGTTTGTTTGGGTTTTTTGAGGTACTGGGGATGGAACTCAGGACCCTGTACTTGCCAGGCAAGCACTTATTCTACTGAGCTATCTCCCCTGGGCCATGAGATTGTGTTTTATTGACACCTTTGTGCCTCTTTTAACACACTCCTAAAGTAAAAGGAAAACACAACCTTCTTTAAACTGTTTTTAGGGTATAGGGAGTGCTGGCATTCTTCGAAGATTCATAATGTTACTGTGTTTTTCTAAGAAACCTAGGATAGACAACTTTTCCACAACCGGATATAAACCTGAATGCATAGAAGGAACTGTGGAATTTAAAAATGTTTCTTTCAATTATCCGGCACGCCCCTCCGTTAAGGTAGGTTAAATAAGTAGTGCTGTACAGTGTTCCGATAATATCTGCTGCTGGCTAGAATCTGTTATGAGACTAGATAGGATGATTTTTATCAAGATGTTGGCTATTTTGTTTAGAGACATTAGGAGATAGCAAGGAAGGAAGGTAATTAATGGAAAAAATATGCTTCAAAAACGTTTATATTTTCTGGCTTCTTTTCCACAGTTCACCAACAAAAGCATTTTCAACTCCCTGAAATTTCCCCATTTTGTTTTTGGGGTTTTTTTAATGGTTATAATTGAAATGTATTTTTTAATTCTAATTTTCCCATAATTTTATTGAGAAACAAATAGCAATGAGACAGTTTCAAACCAAATTGGTAGTACAGTTTCAATAATTAACACATTGCATATATTTTTCCTAGTGGTTATTTGCAGTACAAGATACAGACATGATATCCTATTTACAAACACAATTAGAACAAATCCCTCTATTCATTAAGAGAATGTAACTATATACCTATCCTAACCATTTTGAACACACAGATACAAAATGGACATTCATCTGTATCCCCTTTTTTGTTTAGTTCCATTATTTGTATTTGCAACCAAAATGCCTTGGATTTAGGGCGCCATCTATTGGCGGCCCTTGGATGTCGTCCCATTCTACAGCTTCACCCCGGAGCTGCATCGCCAGCTTCTTTTGGATTTTACTATAAAGCAGTGTCTCGCTGAAGTTGGGCCCAGACGTGGAGTCCTCCTGCCACAGCCTCCGGGGTAGCTGGGAGGTGCAGGGGCGCGCTGCCACAGAAAACATTTTTGGGTTTTTTTTTTTTGTTTGTTGGTTTGGTTTTTTTTGTTTTGTTTTGTTTTGTTTTGTTTTTGGTTTTGGGGTTTTTTTTTGTTTTTGTTTTTGTTTTTGTTTTTGTTTTTTGTTGTTGTTCTTTTTTTGTATGGGGATCAAACTCAGGACCTTGCGCTGGCCAAGCAAGCGCTTCAGAAAACTCACTTTAAGCTTGGAGTTTCTGCCTGGCGCGTGACCGTGCAGGTGCTCCTTTGCTGTATCCTGGCGCTTTTACTACATTCACAAGTGTGCTTCCTGTACCTTCTCCCTCTCCTTTACACATAAACACACATGCACACGCACACGTTCACATTTATGCACACTGTGGGGTGTGTCCTCCAGCATTTAGTCTTTGCCAAGTGCTTGCAAAACTGTGTCAGTGTGTCCATCTTTCCCATTACCTTCTTCTTTATCAGTGTATTTATTCAAAAAGGTAACATTATTAAAGATTGCAAAGGCTATGTGCTAATAAAATGCATTTCATTGAAAAAATAGAGAACATGAATTTATGTGAAATAGATAAAACCACTAATGTCATCAAGCTTTAATGGCCCTTACAGAATCTACATTAAAAAATAATCTACTTCTACTTCTGTATCTTTCTCTGATTAAAACTTACTGAAATGCCCTTTTCCAAGCTTTTTCTAAAATTTTTTGTTACTTAAATACGTACATTGGACTAGGTTCCCTTCTATCTTTTTTCTTAACATAGACCGCTTCAAACGCCAAATTGTAACTACATTTCGGTTTGCTTCCTGGTAACCTAAGCACCAAATGTAACACTATACTGCCCCAGAAAGTGTCGTCTAGGTTCTACGCAAATTTTTTTAATGAATTTTTGAAACATAACTCTTTTTGTTAAGTTAGAAAAATGAGTTTTTGAAGTGTCACCCACTTTAAATAAGTAAAACGCAGATTCTTTCAAGGAATGAAAGGAAGAAATTGGAGAGCGCCAGTGCCTGCAGGAGAGGACGTACTCGCGTTGGTGGTCCCAATTTCTTGCCTCCTTTAGGCTATTTTTCTCCACTTAGCCCTTTTGCTTGGGTTATTATAAGCATCTGTCAATTTACAAATTATGAGCTCAAATGGGAGACTCGAAGGGGAGAATTCTTTTATCTGGGTTAAAAATATACAGGTTGCAGCAAAGATAGGTGTCGTTTGGGCTAATTGTGAAGCTGTTCTCTGTCCCGAGACACTAAATAGTGGCAGCGACCCCTTGTCAATGAGAAAAATTTTGAAGCATTTCTACCACTGCTGAAATGTCCCCACAAGCTCACTGAAGAAGGAAGGTTTCTGATGGCGACACCCTGGGTGTCACCCAGGAGTCGTGCTAGCTGCTGTTTGGCATATACTTTGCAATAATGTTAAATGCATTGTAAGTAAGAGCCTCCTTAGATAACTCAAAGAGGTATCAGACAAGATGTCACTCAGCTGCTGCAAATGAAGAGGTAAGGCTTTCACCAGCGTGGTATTCATGAAGTTCATTTAAGGCACTTTAATTGCAAATGTGAACCATTTGCTGTGGCTGATTTATATGCGATGAGTACTCCTAGCTAAATTCTCCTCTATACATACAGGAATGATGACAATACAAGGAACAAACATAAGATCTTAATTTGATGACAGTAGAAGGAACAAACATAAGATCTTAATTTGTTTTTAAGTGTCACAGAAGGATTTGTTTTGCATTACAATTGTACATTGAATTTTGGAAAGTATGTATCACCTAGCTTTTTCCCAACTTTATGCTATTGCTACATGCCTTCTGGTAGATTCTGAAAGGTCTGAACCTCAAAATTCAGTCTGGAGAGACGGTGGCCTTTGTTGGTCCCAGCGGCAGTGGGAAAAGCACCGCAGTCCAGCTCCTGCAGAGACTGTACGATCCTGACGACGGCTTTGTAAGTGCAGGGTGCTCCAACAACTACGCGCGGTCCACATCACAGGCGATTGCATCTGTTAGAGAGAATGCACAACGATGCTGACATTTCACTTTTAACAGTAGGCCTAAGAGAGAAGCCAGGCCTCTTTCTATGTATCAATTCACTTCACAGCCATTTATTTAGCATATTCTAATCATGTCCCCCCAAAATGAAACCTAATTGGAAAATTACCAGTCTTGTGACCCAGAAGTCAAAATGCCAGCCACAATCAACCTACCCTTGCTTCAGCTGCCATTACAGAGTAGTCACTGAGCAAGAGAATAGTGAGGTATAATGTACGGCACAACACTCGTCACGTGATAACAACCCAGCTAAGGCTTGTGTTCCAAGAAACCCGGATGTGCCTAGCACTATTCCAGGTTCTAGGGACTTCTTGGTGAGCGAAACGTAACAGTCTCTGCCTTCATGGAGTTTACATTCTAGTAAGTAGAGTCGGACAACAAATAAAATAATTAAATTATATAACACTGTATGTTCAAAGTGAATGAATGTCTTGTAGAAAAATAATGTGATACTTTGTAGTACTCAAAACTTATCAAGATGACTGGGGAGATGGCTTAGTAGAATAAGTGCTTACCTGGCAAGCGCAAGGGCCTGAGTTCAATCCCCGGTTCCACCAAAAAAAAAAAAGGTTTATCAAGAGTGTCAACATTTGTCAGTGTATAGAAAATTCCTCTGGCCTTTTTGTCTGTACTCTATAATGTTGCATTTAACTTTCTCACCCTTGCAAGTGGCATAGAGAAAAATACATTTTCAAGTACACAGCTCTTATGTTTCTGTTCAAGCTTTCAGTGGTTTTTTTTTTAACCTATTCTTCTAGAACCTGGTTTCATTTAAATTTTACTTCTTAGCTTTTGTTTGGCACATCAAAGTGTCTACGCTAATGTTTACTGAAAAAAAAAAATTGCTCGATGAGTAACCCGTGTATAAAGCATTCGTGTAGAATACCCACCCCCAGACCAAACACTAGGATTGGTGAGACTGGCAGAAGGTGTAATGATTACCATGATCTGGTTCCTGCCGTTGGTGTAAATTGGGGCAATGGTGCCACATTAGCGAAGGCAGGGTTCACTTATTCTTATCTATAGCGGTGAGTGGTGTGACACTTGTCTTTTGTGGCTCAGTGAAGGACTGAAGAGAAACTAAAAAAAAAAAAAAGTACTCAGAAGAACTGCGCAAAGCACATCACTGTTAAAACAACGAAGTGAAGTTTCTTACGTGTCTCTCCACAATAGCGTTAGTGCTACCTGGAGTCTGTACCTTACGAATACCTGCTTCATGAATTTTAGAATAAAGATACCCAGGTTTAGCCACGTTTTAAACCAATCTTCCGGATTTTTTTTTTCTTGGCTTTTCCCCTATAAGAAAGTGGAAAGGGTTAGCCAAATAGCTCAGCGGATTAAAGCGCCTGCAAGCAGGTGCAGGGGTGGGATGGAGGGGTTCGATCCCAAGGCCTGCTGTGCCAGCCCCACCCCTGGAGTGCACTGAGACTGCAATTGAGGCTGGGCATGGTGGTGCACACCTGTAATCCCAGCTCTTGGAAGGCTGTAAACAGGAGGATCACTACGAGTCCGATCTAGTAGTGAGACCCTGAACACCCTATAGACCCTTCCCTAAAATACAAAAAAAGAAAAAGAAAGAAAGAAAGAAAGAAAGAAAGAAAGAAAGAAAGAAAGAAAGAAAGAAATTGTCTCTCAATAAAATTATGGGGGGAAAAAAAGAAAAAAAGAGGATTAGTGATATACATATTATGAATGTTTTGCCAAAATAAAGTCAGCCTTCCGTTCCCGATGTACATTACTTCTCAGCACATATTTCAGACTAGGAAGACCCTAACCCCAGTACCACGGAAGGCATCCTCACCGGGTGGTGTTTTGCGCCGGCAGATCACGGTGGACGGGAAGGACGTCAGAGCCCTCAACGTGCGCCACTACCGGGAGCACATCGGCGTCGTCTGCCAAGAGCCTGTTCTGTTCGCGACCACCGTCCGAGACAACATTAAGTACGGGCGGGACGGCGTGACCGACGAAGAGGCCGAGAAGGCCGCCAAAGAAGCCAATGCCTACGACTTTATAATGAAGTTTCCCAAAGTAAGTGTGCGCCGTGCTTGCGTCCTCAGCTTGGAGCGGTCGCAGAGCAGCGCCCCGTGCCGGGAGGCGACACTGCTGTCGCTGCGGGAGAGGGCGAGTGGGGTGACCAGCCTGAGCGCGCGGGGCGGGACCCCGGCGGGACGGACGGCACCGGGCCACCGGCGAGAAAAGGGCGTCATCGGAGGACGAGTTCAAAACAGTCACACTTAGTTCGGATTGGTTTTCACTACACATGGGAGAGGGGGAAGAAAAAAAAAAAAAAAAAAAGACATTAAAAGATGACAAAGAAATACAAGGCAAAATCACAGCTCAAACTGCGACATGACTGCAAAAAGTTGGCTTGTGAAGCCACCTTGTGGCTGAAGTGGGAATATCCTACACGTGCAGCGTGTTGCTTGCTTTTCTAACAATGTAGAGAAAAGGGTTTTTTTAAGCTTATAGCGTTAATATTGGGTAAGAAATATGAAATCATACTTGTAAGAGAGACGGGGTAAACTACAGTTATTAATTATAGGATGCCTCAGATCTCCATGGGTACTTAGAATTGATAGGTATAAAACATTTTATTTACACTTACCTAAGTTTTAGTTCATCAGTATAGCCTGAAATTGTTACAAGGAGCACCCTGTGAAATTTGAAGGAATGGCATTTGAAAGGGTAACACATATGGAGCTAGCGGTGGAGCTCAGGGGCTAAGCACTTGCCTCGTGTGCCCAAGTCATCGCACAAATATAAAATAAAATGCACATAAAATTTCAAAATAGCAGAAGGTAACAATAACATTTAAAAAATGTGTTAGAGTATTTTACAAACCACTACCATGTTGGTAATAATTCTTTTTAAAACAATACATTTCTCTACTATGCCAATAATTACTTCCTGCCCCATAATTTAGGGCCATAATCAGCACAGTATTGAGGCTAGCAAAATCATAAAAGGTTTGGCGCAACTGTCTTCCAGTTTAGGGAAATACTTCCTTTCATTGTCCTTTTTCCTATTTCAGTGGCTTCCTTTCCTCTGAATAAATAATAATTGCTCTCCAGTTTCCTACTTAGAGTTAAGCAGCTACTGGGTGTCTCTTAAATCAAGCTCTGAAAGTTATGATTTATTTTACTAAAAGGTCATGACCACATGAAGGTTCTCCTTCCTATAAATGTACCACTAAGATTATCTTATCACAATGAAAACTAAATTTCACAGGCATGGTTAACCACAGAAATAGAAGAGTAAGTATAAAAATCATATTTCTAGGATCTGGGGATATGGCTCAGGGGTAGAACACTTGCTAAGCATGTACAAGCCTCTGGGTTAGATCCCCAGCACCATGAAAAATAAAATAAAACTTCCAGACATGCTTCATTCAGTTAAGTGAAAATTTACAAAAAGCTACGTTCAAAGTAAATAGCATTCCTTTTGTATAAATACATGTATGTGAACTAAATACTTGTCTGGTCAGCCGTGTCTTGTCAGTTGTCTACCTCAGAGTCTATTTTCTGTTGTGCTGGGACAGGCTGCTGGCCCTCCCTGTTTCCACAGACCAAATCCTCCTAGCTCAGGGGCTAGGGCTAAGCAGTTGTTTCTTTTGAGTATTTTTTAGTTTTCAAATTTTATTGCTTGTATTTGATTATAGATGTCAGTGACGTTTCATAGTTTCAAAAGTCCTTGCTGCTCTGAGAAGTGTAGAATCTAGTCAAAATTACATAGTCATAAGAGAAATGTGTTATTTTGTTTTTGTTTCCTTTTTTTTAAAGTTGTGGTATTATTGGTTCTACATTCCCTGAAATATTACTGCTTTATGAAAGTCCAGACTGAACACAGCATCCTCTGTGTACCTAGTACGTTTATAAACCTGGGTATCTCACTACTTGATATTTTCGCATAGTTAAGACAGAAATTTGATAGCTCAGTTAGAGGGGAGGGGAAATCTGCTGCTAGAAATGTCTGAACTAGGGTCAGGGAGATAGCTCAGTAGAATAAGTGCTTGCCTGGTAAGCACAAGGTCCTGAGTTCGATCCCCGTACTGCAAAAGAAAAAAAAAGTCCAAACTAAGTGTCATATTTGTCTGGGTAAGATTTGGGAAATATAGCTTCTGTACATAAACAAAAGAAAAGAAAATCAGTTAAACATCACATAATAGGCAGTCATTAAATTACAAAAATTTAATTTATGAAGAAAGACCTTTTGTACAAGTTGGAAAAAAGATTTTCATATATATATTCAAGAAAGTTAATTTTTTATTTTTATTTTACTAGTATCACAAACTTGCCAGTGGTAACTTATTTGTCCGGTTCAAGATAATTTTGTAGTTTTCTTTCCTAGGACTTGTTATTAAATGCTAAAAGACACTTTTGAACTGTACATTTGATCAGATTGTTAGCTTTTTCTGTTTTACTTCTTTTGAGAACTTTTGAATAAAAAACTCTGAAACTTTTTAAACAATACATATATTTGAAAATAAGATAGTAAGATTTGACGATACTAGCCAGCCCTTCAACCATAACATACCGCACAGTTAGCTATAATATACGAGGTGTAGCACAAGCATTTTTAGTCATTGATCAAGAGATAGTGAATGAAAGTTTTTCAAGAAGAAACTCCCCAAATTTGCAGCATTCTACTCGGTACAAGCTTCTGACCTCACTTGTGTGAGCTGCACTCATAGAATATGGCAGTCTCATTGACCTCGAAGGCAGAAATCAAATTTTAGGGCCCCTAGAATTGCAGGTGGATGTGCCTGGGAAATCCTTGTCTGAGGATAAGATAACAATGTTTTATCACAGCAACAATTACAAAGCCAGAAGCAGAACGGAAATATGAAAGTCCCAACCAATTGGAAGGGAGAAGTCTTATTTATAGCTCTTTAACACCTCCGGCATGAAGCTGAGACACTAAATGAGCTACCCCTTAAAAGTGGGGACCATACCTTAGAGTAAGACCAACTCTAAACCCAATCTCAATCTTTAACCTCAGTGGAGATTAAAGCAATAACAAGACCCCAGAGGAGATAGAATTTGGGAGTTGGTTCCTGCAAGTTACAAGCCTGAGAGGTCGAAAATAGGATGATCACTACAAGTCTGATTTGTGTAGTGAGACCCTGTGGACCCTGTACTAAATACATTTTAAAAATTTGTTTTAAATCAACAGTTAAAGGCGCCTGAAATAACTTATTCAAAGATGCTGACCCAGTGTGCTTTCCAAGTGGATTCAAGTTAACACATTCTAAAAAATAATTTAAAAGAAAAAAAATTCAACACATCTTTATATAGAAAATAATTTACACTAACCTAATGGCCTGAAATAAAATGTTTATATAATCTAAAAAATAAATAAATAAATAAAATAAATCAACAGTTACTCAAAAGAAAACAGAATTCAGAGTCTCTCCAATATACACAGTATTCAACATACAATTTACAAAGGCAAGACATGCACAAAATAGAAAATTGACTTGGGAGCAAAAGCATCATAATCATAAATGTTTGTTCCCTTAAGAAATGAGCATCAAGGGCCAGCCAAATAGCTCAGCAGATTAAAGCACCTGCAAGCAAGCATGGGGGCTGGGGGTTCGATCCCCAGACCTGCCGTGCCAGCCCTGGCCCTGGGGCGCACTAAACCGGCAATTGAGACCGGGCGTGGTGGTATGGGCCTGTAATCCCAGCTATTGGGAGGCTGTAAACAGGTGGATCACTACGAGTCCAATCTAGTAGTGAGACCCTGAACACCCTGTAGACCCTTCCCTAAAAATTTAAAAAAAAAAAACTGAATTCCTTCAGAAGGTGGCAAGAAGGGGCTGGTGAGATGGCTCAGTGGTCTAAAGCACCTACTTAGAACAAACTAAGCTAAGCAAAGCACAGGGACCGCGGTTCAATCCCCCAGCACCACATGCCAGCCAGCCCCGCCCCCTGGTGGGCTGAGCTGGCCACACACACACAGAAAATAAATAAATAATTAATTCATTAATAAAAAAAAAAAAGGTGACAAGAAAGGTGGGACAAGTATGTTTGAAGCAAGAAGAACTGTCTTGAGAGAGATTGATGGCCATGTGTCTATTACAGTAACAATAATTTTAAGACTTAAAAATTCAAAATATTTTATGATTGGACCCCATTTTAAACTTTATGTCCTTGAAATTAATTTTGAATTAGGGACATAACCCAGTAGAATATCACCAACACTGCTCCGTTGGTGTGAGTTACCCTCATGATAAGTACATAACAGTATCTACTTTATTAAAAATAAAACTAGAAATAAAAAAAGACTTAGACTGGCTGGCAAATGGAAGGTCCTGAGTTCAATCCCCAGTACCAAAAAAAAAAAAAAAAGCACCGCCCCCTGGTGGGCTGAGCTGGCCACACACACACACACACATACAATAAATAAACAAATTTAAAAAAAAAAAAAAAAAAAAAAAACACAGAACACTTAAAAAGTTTTCCAAGATTAAAAAAAAGTATTAGAGAAGAAGGCTTTTTGCAATAACTTATTTTTTGGGGTTTTTTTTGGTACTGTTTTTTAAAGTATACAAAAAGGAAAGGAAGAAAATTGCAGCTAATAACTATTTCAAATAATAAAAATGTATATGTATACAGAGACTTTAAAGATTCCAAAGCACTGTAAGAATGTCTAAAAATTCAAAATGGTTAGGATAGATATATAGTTACATTCTCTTAATGAATAGAGGGATTTGTTCTAATAGAGTTTGTAAATAGGATATCATGTCTGCATCTTGTAGAGCAATTAACCACTTGGAAGAATGTATGCAATGTGTTAATTATTGAAACTGTCCTACCAGTTTGGTTTGAAACTGTCTCATTGCTATTTGTTTATCAATAAAATTATGGGAAAAAAACCAAGAAACTTATGTTCATATAATTAGAATTCTCAAAGTTAATGGAGTAGGCAATAAATGCTTAAAGATTTAAAATTTCTGAATTTAGTTCAACTTATAATACCACATTTCCAAGAAAAATGAACCTTTTGCACAAGAAATTTAAATAAAATCATACCAAGATACAAAAAAAAAGAATGTCTAAAATAAATCTGAAAGTATGTTCCAATGAGAAATTTTTGTAGGGCATGGTGGCACATCCCCGTAATTCTAGCACTCAGTAAGCTGGAGCAAGAAGGTTTCTGCAAATTCAAGGCCAGCCTGAGCTGGCCTTAGTGAGACCCTGTCTCAAAAAAAAAAAAAAGAAAAGAATAAGAAAGAGAAATTCTTCTTGTTATATGGTCTAGTTTATTTTAGTCCTAGTCAAACTTTCTTACTTTCTCCTTACTAGAGCCTTTTCTCATAATCGTTTTACAAAGAACTGATCAAAGTTGTAAGCAGCCTGGCTAAGGTAGTGATTAAGGGGACACAAAAGCGCAACTTTATCATTTCCAGTTCGAACCATTTGATCAACCTCCTTCTATGTCTTGCTTTTTTTCCCCTTGTATTTTACTAGAAATTTGACACCCTGGTAGGAGAAAAAGGAGCTCAAATGAGTGGAGGACAGAAACAGAGAATTGCGATTGCTCGAGCTTTAGTTCGGAACCCCAAAATTCTGATCTTAGATGAGGCGACATCTGCTCTGGACACCGAAAGCGAATCGGTTGTTCAAGCGGCCCTGGAGAAGGTAAGTGGACAGAAGCATTTAATGCCACAGACCTTGTTCACTGTTCTTTTTAAGAAAGTACGGTTCTAGCACTTATGACTCAATTGAGAGATGTCCCTAAACTGTGGATGAAAAGTGTGATTTGGAGAGAGAAGCGAATGTGATGGTGGTGCTGAGTACACACACACACGCACACACATGAGCGTGCACATGCACACACACGCATGCATGCATGAACACACACACAGAGCCGTGAGCACCCTTTTGCGTTTCTATACACACCAGCGGGATCCTCTTCTCCAACTACTGTGCACCTTCGGGTAGCCCCAGGGATTCATGTTGACACAATGTCACCGCAAGTGGAGAAACACAGCCCGTGAGCCACTCTCCTCCAACAGTCCTGGACCCCTCAAGCCCCACTCTGACCTCATCAGGCACCGAATTGCAGGCAGCTGGGAGGGCAGTGGGAAACCCTTAAATGTAGCTCTGAACAGCAAAATGCTCTTTTAAATCCTGGCCTTGAGCTCCTTTAAAAGACTAATGGCACATTTTACTCTGCATTTGCATGGAAATGATTAAGTGTTTTTCTATCTAAGAAAATTATAGGCTTCTTTTTCAATACTGACTTTATGGGATCAGAAACAGATACTGGCAGCCAGAGTGCCCACTGCTTATTGAAAAATCTATTAGTTCCTATTATTTACTCACAAATCAGATTGGATATGGCTTTGCCCTTGTTTCCCTCCTATGATGAGAGTGCCATATGTACAAATATGCTTGTATGATATGAAAATCCTTATTTATTGTGGACTCTGTGCCAGTTGGGGTCATCCTACTGGAGAAGAAACAAGGGTAGGGCTAATGTTTTATTCATGTATTTGTACTTAGTAACTAGGACAAGGATCTCTGTCTTGAATAAACTCAGTAAATTGTTGTTCATAATGGTGATGCTTGGTTACTTAGGGCTTAATGTGCTAAAAGTGATTTCATTTTATCGATTTGTCTTTTAAGCAATATGAGATTTTTTAAAACTGTAGTAAGCACTGTGGTTATCTAGAAGATCTCTTATTCCAATATGTTAACCATTTTGAAGCAATCAAAACTAGTTCAGACTTATAAAATTAAAGAACTTGGCAACATGGTAAACTAATAAATATCTTTCCTACAGATCCTAACTTTCCACCTCCCCATGGCAAACCAAGCACCACCATGAAATGAAGTCTCTGTCATAAGTAAAAAGAGGGCTGGCCAAATAGCTCAGTGGTTAAAGCACTTGTTTAGGCAGACACAGGGGCCAGGAGTTCGATCCCCGGGCATGCTGTACTGGCCCCACCCCCAGGGTGCACTGAGACTGTGACTGAGACTGGGCGTGGTGGCACGAGCCTGTAATGCTAGCACTTGGGAGGCTGTAAACAGGAGGATCACTACAAGACTGATCTATGCAGTAAGACCCTGTAGACCCTGTCCTAAAATGCAAAAAGAAAAATGCAACATGCCTATAAACTATGACTTCAATTACATAAAATAGGTACACTTATGAAGAAAATGAAAGAAACAGATAGGAAAAGACAATCATGTGTTGTTTACCAACAGAGCTATGTTCTAAGAAATGTAGCGTTAGATGATTTTGTCTTTGTGGGAATGTCACAGAGAGTGTAGAGCATGTGCAGCCTATTCCACATCTAAGTTGTATGACAGCGTCTGTGGCCTCTAGGCCACACACACACACACACACACACACACACACACACACACACAGTGTGATACTGTACCAAATTCTATGGCCATTGTAACACAACATGTATCTAAACATAGGAAAAGTACAGTAAAAGTCTGATATAAAGGATAAGATGGGTGCTCTTTGGTAGGGCTCCCACCAGGAGTGGCACTTTCAGGACCGGACACTGCCCTGTGGAGTCCGTGTGTGAGCGGTCTGTCGCGTGTGAGGGCTACGGATGTCGCAAGGCACTGCTACAGACTTTCTACACACCTCGGCTACCCCAAATTTATTTTCATATTTTTTCTTTTTTTTCAAGTAATTAAACAAACATTTTATTATTTGTAGGTATAGACTGGCAATTACATAGATTTATGGATTTTTTTTTCTTTTTTTCTTTTTTTTTGCCATAATTTTATTGAGAAACAAATAGCAATGAGACAGTTTCAAATCAAATCAGTAGGACAGTTTCAATAATTAACACACTGCATACATTCTTCTTAGTGGTTAATTGCTGTACAAGATGTGGACTTGATATCCTATTTACAAACACTATTAGAACAAATCCCTCTATTCATTAAGAAAATGTAACTATATAACTATCCTAGCCACTTTGAATACACAGATACAAAATGGACATTCATCTGTATCCATTTTTTTGTTAAGTTCTATTATTTGAATATTATAGGTGTGTAAACTCAGCAAAATATTCTAAAAGAGTCCAGTAGCCCATAATAGTATTGGGTCTTCTGCTTGACTGGCAATGTCAGAAATTGTTGACCTGAGTCCCCTATAGCTCAACATAACAGCATGGCTTTACTTCTTATATTTCGACTTCATACTTTTCTGCTGGATGGTTAAGACCAAGGTAAAGCAGGACCTATACAACAAGAGTTGTAGCTTTTGGGTCTGATAAGGTCAGTGAAATACCCTCAGGATTTATCCTGAGATCCTGTACCTCAGATTGTAGAGCCTTTGTCAGTGTCAGTCATATGGATGAGTCACAGCCATTGCTTAGCCAATGTGCTCTCTGTGAAAGCCCGAGAGAATGTTTTCTCTCCATGTGACTCTCCTTAGGCACACTCTACATCATCGATGACTTTCCTCTTTGGCCCCTTAATCTCCTTGATCAGAAAATTTGTGACACTACTGAGTTACATGATGTAACAGTACAAGTTCTCATATGTCCTGAGTCTTAATTGACCTTGGAAGGCTAGGGCCAAAAAGTTGGCTTTCCTTGCAGCCCTCCTTTTTCTCTAATTTAGTCTGCATACTTAGGTTGTTAACCATCCAGAAGAAAAGCTTATTGTTATTAACATACAATCTAGACTGTTAAGCTTAACCTCACTATCTGTCTGAATATCAAACATCTTAGGCATAACATGGAACAGGTATTTTTCATCAAGTATTGATATGTTGAACTTTAAGTCCCTACAGAATATGATAATGTTCTAGTATCTTGAGTCCATACAAAACTCATAAGCCTGCTTTAAAAACCTTGGAAGCTCAGCTTTACCACTTCTAAATTATTACATATTCCTATGGTTTATCTGATATAGTCAAATATTAATCTGTGCTACAATAATTAAATAGTGATACATAATTTAATCAAACATCTGTGATTTAGACCAAGAAGCTGGCAGAGTAAAGGTGGCACAGACGGGTGAGAGCAGACGCTGCGGTCCAAGGAAGCTCAAGCAACGCGCAGTCTCGCTGCCGAAGTGGTCTCCCCTACTCCCAGGATTGAGGTGTCAGACACCAGCCTGAATTTCTGCAAAATGAGTAATTTAGCTCTGTACTTAATGCCTGGGAGAGACAGACAGGGACACAGAATGAGAAGAATCATGCATAAAAATACTTGAGCTGAGGAAGAGAAGCCTCTGATAGTATGAGCCTGCTTGAGAAACCTTTTGCTTCTGATGCTGCACACACACACACACACACACACACACACACACACACACACCCCTACCTTTCTAGTTGCAACCTCCTAAATGTTTGATTTTACATTCTTTCTGCCCCCGTTCTCTTCAGAGTACATTGTGTTGCATATTCTCCCTTATATAATTTTTAAATTTTTATTTGTTTATTTATTTATTTGGTTCAGGGTCTCACTGTGCAGCTCCAACTCATACTGATCCTCCTGTCTCAGCCTCTCCAGTGCTGGGATTACAGCCGTGTGCTGCCATGCCCTCTTTCCAGCCTGCAAGGCTGTGAATGCGCTTACCAGGCAGACACTTAGATCACCAAGCTATCTCCCCAGCCCTCTCACTACTAGATCGAACTGGTAATGATCCTCCTGTTTACAGCCTCCCAAGTGCTGGGATTACAGGAGTGCGCCACCACGCCCAGTCTCAATCGCTGTCTCAGCGCGCCCCCGGGGACTGGGCCGGCACGGCAGACTAGGGGATCGAACCCCCGGCTCTTGTGCCTGCTTGCAGCAGCTTTAATCTGCTGAGCTATTTGGCTAGCCCTTGAGAAATAAATATTAGATAACAATATAAAATATTTTAGCTTATTGGTAATATCAGACAGTTTCACCAAGAAGTGACCTGTTTAATTTTAGGAAACAATACTTACATTTATAACAATATGGACAACCTCCAGGAGAGGTAACTGAGCGAGGGGGAGGGGCGCAGGCCCGTAGCCTAGGCGCGTGTGTGCTCACAAGTTTATCGTGCTCACCTTTCCCATGAACATTTGCTGGAGAACAGCTCTCTCGCACTCCTTTCAAAGCATTGTGGGAAGTCCCGGGTGCCCGGGATCAACACTGAATTCAAGCGCGAAGACCAGAGAAGAAATTCTAGCGCCCTGTAGGCTGGGTCTCATGTCCACAAGGGAGGCATGTAAAGCCGCCTCCTTTGAGACATTCTACAAAACATCTGACTGCTATTCCTCAAAATTACCAAATTTATCAAAAGTATAGAATATCTGAGAAGCAGCCCTAGCTGAAAGAAGCATAAGGAGACTTCAGGAATAAATGAAGTTTTTTTGTTTGCTTGTTTGTTGTTTGTTTGTTATGTATTTGGTACTGGATCTCCTATGCAGCTCAGACTAGTAGTGATCCTCCTGTCTTTGCCTCCCCAGCGCTGGGATTACAAGCGTGTGTCACCACTCCGGGTCTCTGTTGCAGGCTCAGCGCACCTGGGGGACAGGCCCGGTGTGGTAGGTGGTGCTGGGGATGGAGCCCCGCTCCCTGTGCTTGCCTAAGCAGGTGCTTAGCCACTGAGCTATCTCGCTGGCCCTAAATGTAGTATTCTTAAGGGGATGATAGAACCTAGAAAATAATACCAGGTAAAAATTA